TAAAATCTAAAAAAAAAAAAATCTTTAAAATAAACATATCTCTCACAATGATCAAAAAATAAAAATTGAGTTCTGCCAAGCCTAACCATCGCTAATGTCTAGAAAACGGAACTGTAAAGCTTAGTGTTAATACGGAGTAGGTGGGGTATTGGAAGACACAGCACACAGCAAGCACTAGGCCAGCTGGTTTGCCCTTGCGGGGCTCAGGCTGCGGAGCGGTTTCATTGCTGTGAACATTTCTGGGCTCAGGCTGGAGCCCAATCTCTAGGACCTGGTGAGGGGAATCTCACTAGATTTGTTTTTTTCTGAAAGCCCCAGTTCTGAGAGTCACAAGAATGTCAAATTTTTTTTTAAAGTAAGTTTTTACCTTTGTGGTCAGGGGAAAAAGCTGGACAACATCACCTGAGTGTAGCCTAAAGACCCAGAGACCAGAAAACAAAGAAAAAGAACCTAAACATATCTGATAATTGGAGTCTGACTCACGATTGTTGAATGCTTGGGAGTAGTAGTACTGCAATGCCCATTAGAAATCGCAGAACATTTGGGTTTTTTCAAAGATCTTGTCCAGGGAAATAGCAGAAGGTTTTAAGTTAGAAATGTGAGCTGCCCATTTGTTTGGGTTCACCATGTGGGATCTTATCAGTATCATGTGCATGTCATTCCTGAGTGTGGTACTGCCCCTTCAACATTTGACCAATTTACAAATCAGCAAACTGTAGTGGTGATGACTGTTTTTCTTCACCAGGAACAGGGCCTAAGAACGCTAACCCATTTTACATAGGCCACTGGAGAACTACCAGATGATAATCTTCATTCACAGATGGCCTGCAATGCCCTCAAACAAGTGAGAGGTGAAAGGTTCCATATTCCATTATTAATCTTCTGTAAAACCAAGCCCTGTAATTATTTTTTTTAAACTAGAACATTAACAGGTGGCAGGCTAACAGGATTTATATAGTAAAATGCCATACATCATATACTCATTGAATTGAATATCTAATACATTGTCGTTTTGTTTACCTGGAGCATCTGCAGGCATGGAGCCCCTCAGCTCCCTGCAGTCGCAGTTCGCCATTCCCAGCCAATGGGAGCTGCGGGAAGTGACGCGCCACTTCCCACAGCTCCCATTGGCTGGGAACGGCAAGCCACAGACACTGGGAGCTGAGGGGCTCCATGCCTGTGAACGCTCCAGGTAAACAAAATGTCCAGGCCCGCTAGTGGCTTACCCTAACAGGCCAGGAGCCCAAGTTTGCCAACCCCTGAAATATAGGTCGGCTTATGAAAGGGGCATACAGTTTTTGCTATTTTTAGCAAACCATCTTGGGGGGGTCGGCTTATAAACGAATGGGCCAATGAACAAGTATATACGGTATATATCGAGGTACATGCTAAAACACAGCTATCAATGAGAGAACTTGCATGCAAACAGAACGATGTAGGATTATTTCCAAAGGACGGACAGAAAATGGTGTTATGGAAATGGTCCAGGAAGCACTTGCTTTCAGTCAAATGCAGGGCAAAAGAGGTACAGGTAGGTATCCAGGGAGTTTATGTTGCACTGAAACATGCAGACAGAGTAGAATGCATGCCTGTTAGAAAGTTTTGACATGTAGATTTTTAAAAAATTGTTTTTAAACTAGAAGGTTTAAATCTTGTTTCTGTGTTTGACCTAATTAATATTCATAATGCACTTGCCACCTTTAGTTGTGAATTTTACAATTCCTGTTTGACTCATCCATTTTGTATATTGCTACTGTTTATATGATACTCTGCTAAACACTATCTGCAGATCTCAAAATAGACCATCTCAAATCTATTCTGCAAAATATTTACTCTTTAAATTTAAATAGTTTTAATGGTTTAATTGATTACTTGGTCTAAATCTGATCTATTGCAACTTTATTGTGCATAATCCTTTTAAGCATTATGATCAGTTATTCCCAAGGTGCATTAATGGGGTTGTGTCCTGTTCTGTGCTTGTTTTGATTAATAAATTAATTTCCTTTATTAGCTTCAATTTTAATTAAAATGTTAAATAATTTCTTGAAAGCTATCTTTCCATTAGCCCAATTAGTAATTTTTGATTGGTTTTATTGAGCATTGAGACAGCTACCAGGCTATATTATATTGTATAGACTAATCCTAGTTTGATTTACAGTTATTCCCTTTTTTAAAATATATAAAATATACTTGGTTTTCATCTGGAAAAAACCCTGGAAACAGCAGGGTGTCTAATAATCACTTGCACTGAAATGTTCAAAAATTGGACAAGATACAGTACGCAGATACAATCTTCTCCAAATACTGCTTAGATACAGAGCAACGTACTTTACAGAATTTCATTTACATGATAATTTAAGTTCCTTTCAATGTTTATGGCTTATGTTATAACAGCTATGGTAGACAGAGAAGCTGCGTCTATTGTGTGGAACCCAAGAATGAAAGGACTCATTAACAGGCAATGGAATATCTCACCCACTATTACTGGCCCCAAAAGCGCTCCCATTGAAATGAATGGCAAAGCTTGAGGACTTAAAGGAACAGCCTAAGGCAAAATGTAAGATTTCTCTTACAAAAAAGCTTATGAAATATTTGAACAGCAAAGACATTTTATACACAGACAGAGAAAGGCTATAATTGGACTCTCTACCAGAAGGAGCGGAGGGAGACTTCATTCCAAGTAAGCATTCTTTACACTTTGGATGTTTTTGCCTACACTGCAAAACAGTTCAGGTTAATTCACCCAACAAATTAACCCCCAAAATCTAAAACTTTTAGTTAAAAGGAGCACATCAAGGGAGCAACCAGCTAGAGCAGTGGTTCTCAACCAGGGGACCGGGGCCCCCTGGGGGGGCTGCAAGCAGGTTTCAGGGGGGCCACCAAGCAGGGCCAGCATTAGATTTCCTGGGGCCCAAGGCAGAAAGCTGAAACTCCACCACATGGGGCGGAAGACCCTGAAACTGAAGCCCAAGCCTGAGCAACTGAACTTTGTGGGGTCCCTGATGGCATGGGGTCCGGGCAGTTGCCCTGCTAGCTACCCCTTAATGCCGGCCCTAGGTTTTATATGAAAGTGTGGGCCCCTTACTGAATGAGGGAGGCAACCTAGTGACAGAGGATGTGGAAAAAGCTAATGTACTCAATGATTTTTTTGCCTCTGTCTTCATGAACAAGGTCAGCTCCCAGACTACTGCACTGGGCAGCACAGCATGGGGAGGAGGTGATCAGCCCTCTGTGGAGAAAGAAGTGGTTCAGAACCATTTAGAAAAGCTGGACGAGCACAAGTCCATGGGGCCGGATGCCCTGCATCCGAGGGTGCTAAAGGAGTTGGCGGGTGAGATTGCAGAGCCATTGGCCATTATCTTTGAAAACTCATGGAGATCGGGGGAGGTCCCGGATGACTGGAAAAAGGCTAATGTAGTGCCCATCTTTTAAAAAGGGAAGGAGGATGATCCAGGGAACTACAGGCCAGTCAGCCTCACCTCAGTCTCTGGGAAAATCATGGAGCAGGTCCTCAAGGAATCAATTCTGATGCACTTAGAGGAAAGTGTTCAGGAACAGTCAGCATGGATTCACCAAGGACAAGTCATGCCTGACTAACCTAATTGCCTTCTATGATGAGATAACTGGC